CATGCTACATTATTAGATACTCTTGAGCATATTTTACGAGAACTCAAACCATCAAGAATAGAAAGACTTCAGATCCAAAGAATATATCAAACATATCTCCTAGAAAACTAGGATAAAAAGATATAGACTGGCTAATGGATATTCTTCGAGACAATGCTTGAGGGCTTACTGTAATAAAGACCAGCAACCCTTCCACATCCAGTGCATGGATTAGAGAGAAAGACTATTTCAAGTTGTAAACCAATTTATTGCAATACTTGACTCACTGTGTCCCATGTGGGGCATTCATATCAAACACAGCACGGCCTCCAAATACCTCTTTCAGTTCTTTCTTGCCCAGAGTCCTTCCCCTTTCTCCAATCTCTGAAATGCTATTGCCTGTCAAATACAATAAGTGCAAAGAACTGAACAGCTTTCTTATAGTGTCTGGTAGTACCTTGAGCTTGTTATTCCTGAGATCCAGGTATCTCAAATTCCTCAACTCTCCTATCTCAGATGGCAATGATTCAAGTTCATTGTTATTGAGATATATTGTTTCCAAATTTTTTAGTTTTCCTATCTTAGCCGGTAATGATTTTAGCTTGTTATCGCGGAAGTGCAACATTTTTAGATTCTCTAGCTCTCCTATCTCAGTTGATAATGGCTCAAATTCGTTATCATTGAGATATAATATCTCTAGGTTCTTTAACGTTCTTATCTCAGATGGTAATGACTTTAGCTTGTTACCATTGAGGTGCAGTTCTTGCAGATTAGTTAGTTTTCCTATTACAACTGGAAATGACTTTAACTTGTTGTTATTGAGATGCAAGTTTCGTAAATTCACCAGATCTCCTATCTCAGATGGTAGTGCCTCGATATTGTTACCGCTGAGATATAGTTCTCGTAAGTTTACCAGACCTCCTATCTTAGGCAGCAATATCTTTAGATTGTTATTACTGAGATGCAGGTTTCGTAATCTCTTTAACTCTCCTATCTCAGATGGCAATGTCTCAAGATTGTTATCAATGAGATGCAGATCTTGTAGATTAGTTAGTTTTCCTATCTCAGATGGCAATGTCTCAAGATTGTTATTGTTGAGATATAGTTTTTGTAAATTCACCAGATCTCCTATCTCAGATGGCAGTGTCTCAAGATTGTTAATATTGAGATCTAACGTCTTTAGATTCACCAGTCTTCCTATTTCAGGTGGTAATGACTCTAGTTTGTTAACACTGAGATCCAGTTTTTCTAGCTTCACTAGTCTCTTAATATTGCTGTCAATAGATGTAATGCCTTGGCAACGTATAGATATG